AAGGCTGACGCTTTCAGAACAGTTCACAATTACTTAATGCCACTCATTTATGCCAAGTGATGAATTGTCTTCATCTTGATAAATTGTTACAATGTTTACTTCATAATGTTTATATTATAATATATTGTAGATGGTTGAAAGAGCGCATATTTTATTTCCCTCATCTTTTTAAATGAGCAGCTAGTAAACAGTAATAAGTAGTAAATAGACATTCCAAAATAAGAGTCCCATTGCATTTTGGGCTTGTTTATAATTCAAAGCTTCAAATCTTTTGTCAGGATATTATTGGCATTTTGGTTACACAGTAAACTCAATCTGGCATCTGGGTCGCACCATCACAGGAAGGAAAGACTACAAATATTATTTAACACATTCACTAGTTTACTAGATACGGTTACTAGTTTTTATTGCCTTTTTATACTTTAAACACATTATCAGCAAAATTCAATATTGATCAACCTCTAATGTATATTGAGATATTAGTGCAAACCGATTTTTACAAACCAATTTGTGATTGTATCGGTTTGTTCTATATAGACATACAGTATTTATTTTATTTGTGCAGGACTTGGACTTAAAAAAGGAACTGATTTTTAAAATCAAAATTTATATTTTTCAAGACCTTTTTTAAGTATTGATTCCTTAGAAGTACTGAAAGACTCATTAATGGAGTCATTCAGGAACCAGAAGTGTTAAGAGGAACTGGAACTGGAATCGTCAAGTTCTCTTCTCAAGCTGTGGCCTGCACTTCCTTAGTTATCTCACTGTCGCTTAACACATTTTCTTCTTTTCCAACAGCGTGGATGGAGAGATCAAACATTGTGTGGTTTACAAGACGGCCACCGGTTTTGGATTTGCTGAGCCCTACAACCTTTACGGTTCCTTGAAAGACTTGGTCCTGCACTACAAACACACCTCTCTGGTCCAGCACAACGACTCACTGAATGTAACCCTGGCCTATCCGGTCCTCGCACAGCAGCCTAGATGAGCACCGCCACACGAGATGGCCCAGGACACACATATAAAGCATGATTAAGCACATTATACGGAGCAAACTATACTAACACCGAACTTTTAAGTTTATCGTAGAAAACAGATAAGCACAGTATATTATCGTAAGTAAACATACGGCTTTTTTTGTAAGCCCATAGTTTTCCGTATCAATCAAAGTAAGCTGCAGTAATTACAGTGAGATCACAGCTACTCTGTATTTGTTGTCCCAACACGAGAGAGGAAAGCGTCTTGTGATTGGTGTTGTAGTCCTGGATATTTTCATTGAGGACACGAGATGAGGAATTAACCGAAAGATGCAGCTGTTGATAATCAATCTTTTAGCTGTTATGTCACTGTGTATTTGTTTGGTAGCTCGCTTCTGCCATATAGATTCCTCTTTATGTGAGTTGTACTATAGTAGATGTGATGGTCGAGGGACACTGAAGTCCTTTTAGTCCTCTTTAAAGCTAGTCGTCATGGTCAGAATAAATAGCCATCAACAATTGTGTGCTTTTCTTTGAGATGGTACACCACAGATTTGGAAGTCTGGCATTTTAATGGTTTCTGGGGGCTGGTATTGGTGCTTCCTGGTGCTTTATTTTTGACTCTTGTAAAGTGAGAATGATGCATAGCTATAGTGAACTGTTAAGATCCAGAGCAGAACAAAGGTGATCCCAAAGCAACAATGTGCACAGGAGCTTCCACTCACTTAGAAAGGTTTAAAGAGGCAAAGCAGGTTATTCGACAGGCACAAGCAAAAATGAAACGGAAAACCCTTTTGTGATATAAACCAGGACATGATTATAGATTTTCGAGGAGATTATCAGATGGAATGTGTTATGTTTGTAATAGGAAATGAGTCCTAATGTTTGTTGGGCGTTTTGTAACTGTACACCCCTTAGTGTTTCATCCTGTGACCTCAGCTTTTCTGTGACTCATAAAGTCAGATGATACATATGTTATGGACATCATACAGTCAGCTGGATGAAAAACATATTTTTAGTGAGTGATCAAATGCTTTTTATCAAGTAAGAACCAGATAGCAATGTTATGTTTGCTGACTAAGAAACTGTACTTAAATGAGACATACTTGGAGAGGAAGTGGTTTAAAAGTGCCTTCTGTCCATGTGTGCTGGAGGAGCTTTTCTGTGATTGGGGCAGTGCAGAATGCTTCACTTCCATAGAGAGAGAGAGAGATATATATATATATATATATATATAAAGCAAGTGCTAAATTATATCAAACGCTTACAAAGCACAACGCAATTTTTTTAAATTGAAAAAAAGGAGGATCATCTCATTAAACGCATTCTGTTACATACATTCAAATAAAACACTTTCTAATTACAGGTCTATTGTGAGTATCAAGATAAAGAAGACTGTATGATAAATGAAAGGACCTCTTATTTGTAGTGTTTAACATTAGCTTTTAAGCTTTTAATTAGGTTTGGTCTTAACCAGTATGCACTTTCATGGATGTCATTTCATTTGAGGTTCATTTTACAAGGTTGTGAGATAAACATTTGACTTTGATTAAACGGCTGACACAAACATTTGCATGCTGTCTATATGACATTTTTTTTTTTTACAGATAGGTGTTCTTAAGGGATAGAAAAATGTCATTATTTACTCACTCTCATGTTGTTTCCAAGCATGTAGGAATTTCTTTCTTTTTTTGAACACAAAAGAATGTTTTGAAAAATGTTTGTAACTTCCATGATATTTTTATTCATACTATGGAAGTCAATGACTATCGTTAGCTGTTTTAGTTACTAACACTTTTTGAAATATCATGTTTTGTGTTCAACAGAAGAAAGAAACTCATACAGGTTTGGAAATTGAGGGTGAGTAAATTATGACAGAATTGTGCTTTTTGGGTAAACTATCCTTTATCTCTTATCTATCGCACTGTGAATAAAGCTGGCCAACCATAAGAATTAGGCTTTTTATTCACATGCCCAGAGCCACTGCTGTTACACAAAACTGATTTGGTGGCACTTACAGACAATAAAGCATCTGTAGCACAGCAGGGGTTTTTCTTGCTTTTTCATAAACGCCACCTACTGTCATGGAGAGAAATTGCATTTTCATTCAGCACTCTGCCGTTTTTTTACGCATTGGTTTAAATAGACAAATTGAATGCAAAAATGTAACTCTATTTTTGTTCCAGTCATGGAATTCATCTGGGTATAAACCATAGACTGTAAAAAAAAAAAAAAAGATGGACGACGCGTCTCCTCTTCCTTCCACTATAGAAAAGTGAAGCCAAAGCATCTCCGTATGGCCGCTGCCATCTTGAGTAAATTACGTCATTTGGAGCCAGAGTCTGCGCAGTAGAGATTTGTTTGGAGCCAGAGTCTGCGCAGTAGAGATTTGTTTGGAGCCAGAGTCTGCGCAGTAGAGATTTGTTTGGAGCCAGAGTCTGCGCAGTAGAGATTTGTTTGGAGCCAGAGTCTGCGCAGTAGAGATTTGTTTGGAGCCACTGTACTGCAGCCAGCCACCAGGGGGTGATCAAAGAGCTACATTTAAACTTTTTATTAAAGCTACATTTAAATAAAAAAAAAACTGAAATACACTGCATCAGTTTTTCTAGAAAGCTAGTTTTTCTTAAAAGGCAAGTTGGAATTAAAACTCAATCAGAACTAGAAATTTTAAACTAGCCTGAATCCTTTGCTTTTGACATCCTCCTTTTAGATCGATTCATTTTCATTTATAAATCTGCCACAGACATTAAAATGAGGCAGGCTTTTGGTTTCGTAAGCTTGTTTGTCGGTGTACTCCGGTTTGTTTTGTCATGTCGATAGGATGAAGTTTTGCTATGATGGTGTGGAGTGGAGCGAGAACAGAGACACTGGTTATGATTCCTTGAATGTTCTGACTGACCGGCCTTTGTTTCATTGAGAGCACAGAGAATGAGCCAGATGTGACGAGTTTGTGTGAGATAAAGCAATGGAGTAAAAGCCTCTAAATGCACTATACAAGCACATCTTGAGGTGATTATGAGTGACAATTAATAAAGCTTGACAGCCTTTATGAGCAACCGAAATAGGTTTAGGTACACATTTTAGTTACAGGCCTGTAGTGTCAGTGTGATATGATTCTGCCGAAGTGGGTCTGTTCTTTGTCGTTTTTTTCTTTAACTCCTTTTTAAAGAGAGACTAATTGTATGTCAATGTTTTTTTGTTGTTTTCTCATTGTAAGTAATGACCTTACAGATTCAAAGATAAGCTAGCTTGAATATCTCTCTTCCATTCAGTACAGTTACAAATGTTTACAGTATCTAATTAACCAAATAGAAGATGTATTTTCAGACATGCTCTGTCTGGTCCTGAAAGGTTTCTTGTCTTTTTTTTTTGTGCCTGGTGTTTTAAACTTGAAGATTTTGTTTTCATTCTTTGTTCACTTTAAACAGTGCTCCCTCACTATTATCAAGCACCTGTATATAATCTCTTAACTAAAGATTGAGGTCACATTAATTTAAAAAAAAATGTGCACAGATAAACCATTTAAAATAAACACTGCAATGTTTCATAAAAACAAATTATAATGGTCATTCTGATTTAGTAATGACTTTAAATCTTTTATAATGTGGACCAATCAGGTTCTGTGTGTCTTGTGACTGCTATTTTACATGTATTGTAAAATGCATATATAATACATTGTTTCCTTTTATGGAGCTTTTTGACACAGACATCATTTTTTCAGAGCAGCAAACTGGCCTTAAACGGCTCTGTTCATGTTTACATGTATAAAGTTCACAGAAACATTATGGGTGACAACTATGTAAAATGCAACTCGTTTGAAAACCTTCAAAACTCAAAAAGTAATTTGTCACAAATGTTGCCAGCTGGGATTAACTCTTGCCATTCTAGTAGTTCATTTGGTAAATGTACTGTGTCATTTAATTTAAAAAAAAAGTATATATATATATATATAAATAATCAGCGAAAATGTCCAATATGCGACTTTTAACTTTTGAAGGACAGCGGATAGTCAGTTTATGTTTTCAGCGCGGTCTTCCTCGTGATAGGGCAATATTATAATAATGCCGTAATAAAAGCAAAGTTTTGCCGGATTTTAATGACGTCACGTAAATCCACCAATCAAAATGCAGCACCGGTGTATAAAGGAAGAAAGTTTAAAATGTCACTCATTTTCATTCGGAGCTCAAGGCCAGCTGTTGGACAGTAATCATGTTCGGCTTTAAGCTCTCTGTGCTGCTCTTCGCTGTATGTTCGCTGAGTAAATGCAGCGGTAGGTTTGTTAACTCCTGCAAATATCCACCTTCACAATGGTGCGACTCTCGAGACATTGCAGCCGAATGTGGGGTAAGTGGCTCGTGCATCAAAACACAACGTACACCTTCGTCCTTAAATTTCATGGCATGAAACGATTAGATGTGTTTTATTAGCATTCTTTTTAATCAATTTTACTAGCAAGAAAAAGTAAAAGTGAATTTAAAGTTGCATTAGCTAGGCTACACTGGATATGCAAATCGTCCTGACGTAATATATTTACACTTCTCGTTTTTTGCTTTGCACTGTCTGGGAAATCCCTAAGGGGTAAAAGTGAATTTAAAGTTGCATTAGCTAGGCTACACTGGATATGCAAATCGTAATATATTTACACTTCTCGTTTTTTGCTTTGCACTGTCTGGGAAATCCCTAAGGGTTTTTTTTTAGTATTCTTGGTCCATGAAGAAGGCAGACGCCCAATTAGCGTAAAGGAAACTGAGCGCTTCCCTTTATTCTCTTCTTTCTCAGGTGCTGGAACAGTGCGTGAAGTTTAACGCTGTCCCGGTCAATGTGAGCCTGTACTATGAGTCTCTGTGTCCCGGATGCAGACAGTTTCTTGTAACGCAGCTCTTGCCAACCTTCATTATGTTAACTGACATTATGAATATTGAGCTGGTTCCATATGGAAATGCACAGGTATATTTACACTCTCAGCTGTTGCTCAGACAATTTACCTCTGTACAGATATCATAGTACTTCTATACACATTATATGACTAGCATCTATCGCTATTTGCACTTGAGATGTAATCGAGATGATATTTACTTTTGTTCACACCTTGGGAACAGTTTTACCACAATTTGCACAGTGTAAATAGCAACCCATTTCTTTTACACATAATAAAAGTAAAAATAATAATGAATGTTAAAATGTTCATAATAGGAGAAAGAAGATCAAGGGAAGTATACCTTCATTTGTCAGCACGGAGAGGATGAATGTCTAGGTAACATGATTGAGGTGAGGTTTTGCCTTTTTTTTTTCACCCTTAAAGCATTTTAAAGAGGATTGAATGCATCTTGTTTAGAGCTGAAATAGAGGTATTATAATTGTAATCTTTTCTATCAGACCTGCCTGTTGAATACATTAGGACTGAAGGCTATTCCAGTCATTTTCTGCATGGAGTCAGGAGCAGATGTGCTGAAAGCTGCCCAGCCTGTAAGTGGTCGTCTATTATTTATTGTAAACCCTGGTGCAACGCTATGCTAATC